GTTTTACATGCTGTAAAACTTGTAAGATACAAGGACGATATATACATACACAGATGGCAAGAGACGGTATACATAAGAAAAGTAACTTGATATAACAATATAAAAAAGAAAATAATGAAAATAATAACGAAATTAAATCTCGCGCGTTTCATTTTTCTCCGAGATGCCTCTTGACTCTCGTCTGATCGATCGGTGAAAAAATATGCTTACCGGCGTGGAGGAATATCTTGCGGAGTCAGGGGAGGCCGAGGATGACCTGGCGCTGCTGCAAGACATGCCATCGCTTCCTAAACTACCGTGAAAACTGCCGTGCAAGGAGTTCGACAGTGGACCTGGCGACGCTGGCGACGCTGTCAGAGGGGACTTCGATCTCACCGAGTCCGTCCTCGACCTGCAAAATCATTAGAATCGATTACACGCTCGATGGCCAGGGCAGAAGAGAAGCGTCAAACTTCACGTTCGAGGCAGTGATATTCAGTTCAATTTGAGGCCAGCGGTGCGCGGATTCGGACAAGCAATCTCTATGAGAAGTTTCTTCAAACACTTTGAGGAAATAAAGAGGTTTCAAGCTGTCGGTGATTTTAGCTTCCATTTGAACTCGAATCTCAGCGGCGACGATTCGATTGGTCAAGCAGCGTACGGAGTAAAATTGTGCATTGAGAGAGGAATTGTTATGCGTAGAGAACCATACTTTTCGAGGTACGATTCGATCAGAGTCGAAAAGTTGATTTCGTTTGAACTTCAGTGGAAGCCTGATAATTGATTGTTTTATGGTAAAAATGACGGCAATAGTCTGGCATTAGTTAAATAAAAATAAAAATAAAAAATAATACAGTTGGTGATCGGTTCGAAAGATTTTCATGTCCGGATAACAATAAACACATATTCGAATAATGAACACCTCACGCCACTGTGTGCAAAATTTGTAAAATTTTACTGCCATCTTAAACGGATTATGTTCGTTCCGATCACCCACTACGCTATAAAAATTGTTCACGAAATTTGAACTTAGTTTTTAAATAAATGATGTTCCAGTAATATTTTCACAATTGAAAATACTTTGTTAATAAAACAAAAGACAGAGTCTAGTTTTTAGAGAATTCTGTGAATGGGCTGGTATTTAAGTGTTGAAGCAAAAGCGAAACTCTCAGTTTTCAGCAGCTGATACACGGATCATAAATTTCCCCAATTTAGCGAACGCTGGAAGCGAAACGCGTAGAAAACAGTTCTGCAAATCCGTAGATGAATATATCCTTCAAAATATTCTCCAAAAGTTTCAACGAGGATTTGCTAGAATCAAGTCGCTGGAATCGTTAAAATGTTTAGTCTTCAGTGCGTCCTGCTATTTCTTCGTTTAATCCACTCTCGCCTTTCGAATTATTCCAGCGCGTTGAACACACTCGCGCGTTTTTCTTTGGATATTCACGCTCCCCACAAACATGTGCGCGACGTGTCGTTTGATAGTTCGTTGGAATACCGTCATCGAACGACGACGCGATTCGGCGTAAATTTGCCAGATGTCCGGCAAATTCTCGATCTCGACGACTCCGCCAGATGTTTGTTAAATTTCCTCTCTGGTTGGCCCGATTAAATCTGTCGAATTCATCGAAGCTGTAGCCTTCAAAAAGAATGGTTTCTCGAATTCGTATATTACGAATAGAATGATGCGACATACTTAGTATGTAATGATAGTACTGAAATTATTATATCTTACAAAGTATCTTACGTGTATATAAATATACATAACTCTGTACCTTCACTATTTTATTTTATTTCTTTCTTTTCTTTTTCTTCAACACGTTCGCTGCCATTGCTAACTCATGATTCATTCGCAAGTATGTATGCAGACAATACAATTACAATGCTTTGAAAATCAGTAGATTTGTTAATAAGAAATGATAAATTTCTGCGTAGAATTACGATGACTGAATCAATCAAATCGTAAGATGACTTTTTTTTTAGAGACGTTTCAAATGAATTGTAATGTTAATAAATTTCGAATTAGTAATCAAAGAATCTACAATTTCATCAACGTCTTAAACTATCCGTAAAATCGTACCATCAGAATGTTGCTCATATACTGTTTCCACATAAATATATCGTAAAATACAGAATTTTCTGTGTAAATAATCCAGAAAACTCGCCAATTTGAAACAATCGCCAAGACACTGTTTATTTACTCCGTCAAAACATTCCTTCAACACAGCCAGCGAAATCCTCGGCTTCAACCAAGCGCCTCGAGAAACGCGAATAAAACGAGCCAACGGCGGCGAACGTGTTAAATTAGCGTCCGTTTCTCTTTAGCCTCGTTCCTCGCTCATCGAGGCGCTGAATCAAACGAAATTAAACAAGTGTAAGCAGCGTTAAAGCCCGGAACTCGACGATTCATTCGAGTCTTCGTCGACGGATCCGCAGACGGAAGACTTTTGTCGCAGCGACAAGCTGAAAGATT